CCGCTAACGCTACTGAAAATGTAGTGGCCGCTACATGTAGCGCGCTACTGCCCACCTCTGCAGTTATATAATAATTTGAGACGTATCCTTTACCTTTTACTATTCTGATTGGAGCTTGGCAATTGAAATGATTTTTGATACGAATACATGTTGTGGTTTAATATGGTACTTAATCTTGACAGGCAAATAAAAATAGAAAAACGCTTTTTTTTTAAATTGTGTTCTATGATGGTTTGGAGGAGGCCATACTAGCTGTAGCTGGTGACATCGGCTGACTGGACAGACTTTGATTTGCCTCCAGCTCAATCACAGAATCAGATTCATCAATCTTGCCTTTTAAGCAATCTCCTTCAACAAAATGTTTGGAAATAAATATCAACAACATTTTGAAATACAACAAAATTTAAGTTGAAAAAAAATATAATAGCTTGATCTTTAAAAAAGAACTCAAAATATCCATGTGTATCCTTTCTAAATAACGTTAAACAAGCCAAAATGTTTGATAACAATTCAGGAAACTCCGCAATTGTGAAGATTTCCTGGAGGCATAGCACAAAATTTTACTAAAGGCAGAGATAATCTAATACTAGCTTTAGTATTATTAGGAATATCTTACCAGGACTCCACTCCACTGTCTACTAATTGGCCGACTAATCTAGACACTGCGTCCCTACTCCGTAAGCGCTCCACGGTGCCTGAACTTGTTCCGAACGCGTAATAAACTCGACTCATATTCGTACGGTTCCCATAAGTGCCATCGAAGCCTTCCTTAGTTAAGACTTAAGAGTAACATTTTTGACTCAATACACAGCCATATGCACACATCGACAGGTTTGCGGTGTTTGTTGGACCGCTAATTAACTGCCATGTCAGTTAGTCAGACAAATTTTGCTAAATCTGCAATTAACTCAATTTAACTGGTAACTGTCTATGGCCCAGTAGCAATAAAGGGCTAACTGGTCATTCTTCAACCCATGTTTTCGAAATGATTCGTATCGTAATCGAAAAACCATTTGTCTTAAATAATTATAATAATAATAATTTGTCTCGTATCGTCTCGTTATGTCTCGTTTCAAATCTGTTTGTCTCGTCCCGGTTCATAATTTACTGGGACACAAGTTTTAAAGTCTGGGACAGAAGTCTTTTCTCGGTTCATACGTTTATTCCGGGACAAATTTTACCCTCTGTCCCGTTATTTTTTTCCCAGAATTTTCTCGTCTCGTTTTGTCTGTCCCCGGTTCATTTCGAGAAAATTATTTCGAGACTCAGGAGTCTACCGGAAAAACTTAGCCAATCAACAAAAACCTCGCAGGTTAGGTCCAGTTAGGAACAGCCTAACAGGTTCCATTAAAAATTTCTGATGCCGACTGCCAAAAACAGATTTCGGATTCTTAATCTACACCCCAAAAAACATATAGGCCTAATTAAAAAAAAAAAACACTTTTTTTGGATGCACTTAATCTAAAGTATTACCCCTATATCTAGACCAGTAAAGTATCCTGAATACCTGCATTATCATACCTAAGAAATTGCTTTAAATCGTGAGTAAATGGGGAAATTAAAAATGAACTGATTCTAAAAAATTTGTGGTTTGACAGGCTTGTCACTATGCCAGGCTGTAAAGTAGGGCCTTTCAGCTTGTGATATTGGCGTCTTTGGAGCATCGTTATCAGCCACCTTGCCCTAACATCGGCATTAATGGAGAATCTTCATCAGCCACCTCCGGGCACCTCGACCTTACCTACATCAGCATCCAACAGGGTCATAATATAATTTTTTCCCTAGCTTATGTTTAGTCCCATTAACAAAATAAATTGTACTTTCATTTTTTTCTTTCAATTTCCTGGGGCCTAATATAATAGTTTGTTGTTCTCAAATAACAGTTCATAACTTCATTTTTTCAATCTTTACCCTTTTATTTAAAAAATCTATTGTCACATACCAAAAAGTGTAATGTAAACACATTGGTTCATTGCAATCACTTAGCTTGCACTGCTGTCTGCGTCACTTATAAACAATAAACGCAAAAAGGAACATCAACACTAATTTACGGACTTCGATTCAGTTGCTTTAATAAAAAATATGTTGAAATAAATATTTTTTAAAGACAACATTGTGCATTTATTAGTTATTTATAACACAAAGATAGGCTTCCAATCTTGAAAATTTTCCCTATTTGTCTCACTAATTCATTTCTTTTGCAATTGTGATCAAATTTTTGGTCAAGCCATTTCAGAAGTGAATCTCATTTAACCAGCAGTTCCAACTCAATAATATGTTTTAAAGAAGAGAAAAAATAGTGATTTTATATTATAAATAAGAAATAATGTTGTCCACTTGCACTGTAAAATATGTATAACTTCTATATGGTTATCAGCTGTATTTTATCTTCAAAGAGCTCTGTGCAACACATCTCGGACAAATTTATGGCCAGACTTGCGGCCAGTGTCAAAATTCAGTGAGCATGGAATGTCTCCCAAAGCAATGAATGTAGCTTGATGAAATTAGTACACGTATTCATTAGGACCTAACGGTCATGTTTAGCTTGTGAAAATATTTTGAATTTCACCTTCATTCGTAAGACATATGATAACACGTGCCAAAATTTGCAAGCTACGTACAATGTATTGAACACTTGATGCCTCTGTACCAAAAACATTCAATTTATTGGAACCTAATACACACTAAAGGCAACAAGTTTATATACCAATTTGTCATTCATAGTACATTTATATTGAACCATGAATAACAATACCTCAATATAAATTAAAGACTGCCACTCAATATTTTTCAATATATGAAAAAATCAAAAAAATGAAAAAAAAATCGAAAAAAATAAAAAAAATCATGATTTTTTTATAAAAAATCAAGTGATTTAACCACATGATTTAATCATTTTGATTTAATCATTGCCAACCCTGAAAATATGTATAACTTCTATATGGTTATCAGCTGTATTTTATCTTCAAAGAGCTCTGTGCAACACGTCTTGGACAAATTTACGGCCAGACTTGCGGCCGGTGTCAAATTTCAGTGAGCATGGAATATCTCCCAAAGAAATGAATGTAGCTTGATGAAATTGGTACACATATTCATTATGACCTAATGGTCATGTTTAGCTTGTGAAAATATTTTGAATTTCACCTTCATTCGTAAGACATATGACAACACGTGCCAAAATTTGCAGTGAGCATGACATTTCCTGTGGCCTTCCTGAGCATGACATTCTCTGTGGCCTTTGCTAACAGAGGATCTACGGTAAATGTGTTTTAGCCAGGTTGTCCCTAATTACCCCGGGGGTTGTCCCTAATTACCCTGGTGGGGGATGTCCCTTATTACCCCATTGCACAGAAATGGCTGCCATTTTTTTAGAACAAGAAAGGCTAATTCTGTCAATTGCATCAATTGCAACTTTTATTTAAGTAAAAATTTTTAATATGGCGAATATTTTTCTTGCTCCAGACATTAGTAGAAGTACTTTTCCAAAATCACACTTTTCACACTTTTTTCAGCAATTTTTTAGGATAGTAAATGTTTGATATCTTGACTAGCATTATACATAATAGATAGTAAAAATGTTGAAGTTTACGCCACTATTTTTAGTTTTGCAATATTTTGATTAGTTTAGCTGCTACAACATTTCTATGAAATGCGGGACACGCATCCTGATTTACCCCGCCTGTCCCTTTATACCCCATTTGACGGTACTAGAAATTAGAGCATGGGCAGGCAAAGGTGGTGCTAGTGCCAGTCAACTGCAAAGCATAACTAAAATTAATTTACTAGAATTAACTGATAATACGAGATAAGGCTTGGAACATGAGAAATATTGTAAGATAATTTCACCACTCATGACTATCTGAAGGTCACTGAAGGTGATAAAACATGCTTGAATCATTAATTAATGGAACAGGAATCAGAATTGTTAATGAAGCTACAATGAACAAATTAAAATTTGAAGCTTAAAACTTTAAACTTATTGACAGTAGATAACTAACTGAACAAATAATATAACTCGACTTGAAAAAATGTTGATGAATCATAGTGGAACTTTAGGAAAAGCATCAAAAACCATGGGACAGAATAGCTAGCACAGACTAAATGAACACATATTACCAGCACAGAACAAAATGCTCATTCAAGTAAACCTTGCAATGACAGCAGTTAAATGAAAAACCAAAAGCCTCAATTTAAAATTGTGTAATAAAGTTTATTAAGACTAGTGAAGAAAGACTTCAGCAAGGCATTAACACTGAGGCACCAAAACATTATTTTACTTTTGGCCTGAAGGGATAGACTATCATCCAACCCACCTGGGCAATGGTCCTTCTAACTAGTAATAATAGCCTTCTGAATTCCCAATTGATCAGAAAAATTACCACAGCTTCACATTAAAGGCAATGACACTGGCATTGGAATATTAATTGGTGCTGGAAAAAGATGAAAGAAATACATTGCATAGTTAATCATGAATAATTGGTTAAAATTTAGGTTAATGTGTGAAGGCAGTAATGGATGTGCTAAAACCTTGCTTAATTAAGCCCTCTGTATCAGTGCAACCTCTGGCTATCCTGAGTGCTGCATCCTGGACTGTTTGGAGTTTGTTCATGTGTGTGGGTGATATGATTGGTGACCAGGATGAGTTTACTATATGTCACACATCCAAGTCAAGCATGGGTTCTCCTCAACATCCCTCACTAGTAGCAACAGAGAGACTGCCCACACATGGGGAGCCTCAGGCCAGCAGAACTAAAAAATTTGAGCTTTGGGCCCCCCTTTTGGAGGGCAGGGAAAAGTTGACTGTCAATTTGGGCCCTCATCTGGGCTGCGCTCCAAATGCTGACAGCATTTGGAGCATTTCAATTCATTCCTTCCATACATCCAAGCACCAATTCTCTTATTATTGTGGAACTCTAAAAGCTTGTGCTTCATGTCATAGCATTTTAGCTTGCACAATACACATGCATGACTGTTATGTCTGGTTTTCATTTCTTTGTCTAATTTTGTCATTGGACAAAAATTTTTTTTTGTTTTACTATGCCAATGAATCTTTAGTGGGTACACAGAATTAGGGGTGTTTAACCAGTTGATCTGGTACATTGATTCCAAACCGAACATTATTTCTGGAGCTGTGAGTTTATTGACCTTTCAGCAGTGAAATACATTTCACCTATGAATTCATTTATGAATCATGAATTCATGTTCCTGTTACTGCAATGATGAGGAAACATTGCTTAAATTTTGGATTATTTTTGGCTAATCAAAATGCTTCTTTAGTTGTAACATCACATTATTTTCTCCCTGCAGCTAAGATTATCAATTGGAAACAAGGCAAGGAAAATCAAAAAACCATAAAAGGATAAGAAATAATTAATTTCATTGAGGAAAAACATTCTAGTCAATGAAAATAGAAACCCAGCAGGGCAGGTGAAATAACTTTGATCTTAGTTTTAATGTATGACCATTGTATCAGAGATGATGTGCTCCCAATATTCTCCAATGAAAACATATGGCTGATTTTAGCTGGTTTTTTATCAACATAAAGTTTGCAGGTTTTATTTTTTTGAAGTAGATTCTTCAGCTTGATAGTTATGAATAAAAATTCAGTTTGCATATGTTTTCAGCATGTAAATTCAGCTGTGCTACAATTTTTTTGTTTTAATCAAGGGTTAAATATTTGTAATATACTTGTAGGTATGTATTGAAAATTCTAATAATAAATGAAATATAGACCCTTAAACCATCAGAATAGATAAACCTTCATAAAATTATTCTTAATTTTACAAAATAAAAACTGGAACAAAATACTGTTGAATCTTGTGCTGAAATCAGGTTTTCTGGTCACAATTGACAAAGATCTGCAGAGAATGAATGGCAGTTCTAATATTCAATCTGCATTTCATCCTTAAATCTAGTATTTTCACATCATGGCTTATCCAAAGATTCAGTTTGCATCCCTTCCTGTAAATTTGAAACCTGCTTTGATTGAAAAGATTCAAGGTTTGCAAGGAATAGTGCTTGATCTCCACCACGTTCAGTTTAATGAACAGTGTACTCACTTGGTGGTTCAGAATGACCACTTTAGACCAACTGAGCGCCTTTTGGCTTGTTTGGCTGCAGGTATGTTCATTAATTATATCCTTAATATATGGAATATTTTGTTTAATATGTGGAATATTTTGTTTAAGATATGGAATATTTTGGTCCTAACCAATTAACAATCAAGAAAATAATTTCTCTTTACCTATAACTATCCCTCTAATTCACATATGTTTCTACTTCAAAGGCATATGGATTGTGCGCATGTCTTGGGTGGAGGCAAGTTGTTTGAGTGGCTATTGGGTGTCTGAAGAACCTCATGAGTGCATGGGGGGCCATGGAATTACACGATATCACAGACTGAGAGCTAAAGCTGCAATGGAATCTGCTGGACGAGGATGTGCATTGCCTGGCTTGATTGCTAATAACACTTCCAGCATTGACAGCATCAAACATCGGGGGATCCTCTCGGGCTGGACAATGTATGTTCGTGTCAAACAATCATCTGACAGCAGATCATTTAGGAGGTAAGCTGCCATAATGCAGAGTATGGTTAATTTTCATCTATCTGAAACAAGTTATTAAATAAATTATTTATCAAAGAGTTGTACATGCAATCTTTTTCTTTATGAATATCTAATGTTTGACTATTGACTTAGATGCCTCATGTATTTTTTCAAATATGAGAAATGTATTTGCTTAGTTTGGTAATTTATTTCTTTGTCCATAAACAGAGTATTGTCAGCTGCTGGAGCTGAAGTTGTGAGTAGCTCAGATTTCGCATGTTCCCGAGATCGTCTGAATCTAGTGCTGTGTGATAATGAAAGCATTGCTGTGCTAAGACCTCTCCTGGGTCCAGGCACACTCATTGCTCATCACAATTTCTTGAGGGATATACTGCTATGTGTGAGTTTATCTGTAAATAAAATAGATTTCTGTTCAATTCATATGAATTTTTATCAAACACACTATTTACTTGTGCAAAGTTAAAGTGTTCTGAAATTAGTTGATGTTTTAATTTTTTGTTGATGTTTCAAATATTGTTGGAGTATAATCTCAAAGCATTGTGACATTAAAATTATTCATTGGGTTACAGTTGTGATTAATCTGCTTCCTGTTGGATGTCACTTTGTTGGACATTATGCTACGGTATTTTAACTAATTTTATTAGAATGTGGTAATTTTACTGATAGATGATCAATATGTTATTGAAAGACCTATTTTTCTCTCAGCGCCATGATCCAGCTAAGATTCAGCCATATCTCTACCCAGCCCATAGTAGGCCAAGTAAGTATCCTAGAATTTAATGATGCTAATTTAATTAAATTAGTTCTTGAATTTTACTGAATAGTACCTACACTAAGCTGCAGCCCTACACTAAGCTGCAGCCCAAGTGCAGTTGGCTGCTGTTCGCTAAGTAGTACGCAGTTGAGCTTCTTCTTTGAAGTTTTGGAATCAAGGTCTCTTTGATTTTTGCTTTGCACACTCTTATTCAAATTGCATTGCCAAGTGATTTTGCTATTATTTTTCATTCATTTTATTCTACTTCGTTCTGATACTTATAGGTGTTAATATCTGATTGGTTTCTGGTGTTGCCGAGTGGTTGCGACATCACACTTGTTCGGTCATAAGATGGCTTTGTGCTGCGCACTGATTGATTCAGGGAGCGCCGGTAGCCTACGTGGTGTGGGCTGGCTGTAACGGTCTAGCGTGAACCATGATGAACCATGATAGGGTGAGCATCTTGGAAGCGTGTGCTATTAACAATAGGTACCTATACAATTTTCCTAGTAACATGATACGATCCTTAGCTTACCACTGATTTTTTTGACAGGTATGCAGAGTGCTGGATCGGCTGATCAACCTTTGGTGAGTGAGCTTGCCATAATATATCCTGATTAGCCTAAATAGTTACCTATTGAAGAATGACTAATTTTGAGGCATTATAATAAGATTGTCATTTTAGTTAATTTCTTTCAATTTCAAACAGATTCTGGATGGAGCCTCTTCATTCACTCCAAGGAAGTCAACCCCTGTCACTGCAACTACAGCTCGTCGCCCTACAACATTACTGCGGCGTAATAGAATTCAAAATAATGGTTCGATCACAGAATATTTGTCTCCGTCCAAACCTCCCAACAGAGTACAAGAAATCGTTATTTTAGATGAAGCTGATGATGCTACCCATGAACTGGTGAATCTAACTGGTGAGACAATTCTTCCACAGAAATTGTTCTCTGATATTATTGTAGTCAGTGATGATGAAGAAGACAACCACCCTTCAAAAAAATTGAAACATACTTCGTCTACCACTACAACACCTAAAACAACGTATACTACCTCTACTGGAATTGATGATGAAATTGAAGTGCTAAAAATTTTGACACAGCCTTCTGGGCTAAATTCTCATAGAAGAGATTGCAGCTACTTGGGCAAGTCTTCTAGCAGATCAGGAATTTTAAACTTGCACGATGTGAAGAATGAAGATGACTGTTGTATAACTGAAGTGCAAAAAAATGTAGCAAAGAGCAGTTTTTTTAATAACCTGCCCAAAGCTCTGTTTGACTCAAAGCCATCTGTAAGCCAGCTCAATCTAAAGAGTGAAGACGTTAATTTGAAGCTAGGGCTGCTCAAGTTTGAGAAAGGCCTCCAAAAAGTACTTGCAGCACATAACTTGGGATCTGCTTCAGCTAACCCAATTTCTTCCTTGAAGTTGGAAACTCCTGATGCTGAAGATGACAAGAAGTTTAATGTTAAATTAGAACCTCTCAAGATTGAGTTGGACACAAAAGAAAATGTTGAAGTAAACAAAGCATTAGATTTGCCTCCTAATGGTACCATCCCTCCTCTGACGTGTTCCAGTCCTGCTTCAGCTCCTTCTGCCCCTCCTTGCCAGGCACCAACTGAAGGCCTTGTCAATACCTCTGTTGATTCGTCGTTGTCTATGTCTTCCAATTCAGAAAATGGTTTCACCGGAGGAAGAATTCCTCATTGGTTAACACGCAATATGATGGGGAAATTTTTGGAAAGAAGTTATTCTTGTCGTGAAATATTTGGAAGTTCTTTTGACTGTTGCTTCCCGACTCAGCTTGATCCTGTGCTTGCTCCCTACTGCAGAGTTCAAAAAAGCACTGAAGCCAGTCTTTACTGCTGTCTCTTATACACATCTAGATGTGTATAAGAGACAGGTATTGAAGGACTTATGAGTGTTTCAGTTGCTCGAGTTCGCAGGCGGGTTCGGAGAAGTGTCGATTCAGTCAGCAAGGGTATGCACTTAATTAGTTATCTCTATTCTCTAACAATTTTAAGGCCGGTCTCCAAGGAATATCTTCAAATTCAATGAATAACGAACATCACCCAAAGTAATGAATGCAGCTCGACGAAACAAGGTACATGTATTCATTAGGACCTAACCGAGATGCTCAGCTCGTAAATGTTTTTTACATTTAATTTTCATTCGTGAGTTATACAGCTGTCTCTTATACACATCTAGATGTGTATAAGAGACAGATTCTTACTCGTCTGGATCAAACTTTTTTTTTTTGGTATTTTGGTTGTGCTTGTCTTTACAGATACCACTGGAATTAGAATCATTCTGGGTATGTTCAGCTAAACCATTCTCAATTTTTGAGTACATAATAGGTAATTATGTTTGCATATAAAAAAGGTGATTTTCGGAAGGAGCTGCCATTCTACTGTTGGGTAACAGCTTCTTGAACTCGTAATTTGTATATCTTTACAGAGGTTTATAGCGCTGATGCTTGAGCTGGTGTGGCTATATCATGGCCAGCAAGCTCCTGTTAAGGCAGAAAAGATGGAAGAGCTGCTCGCTGGAGCGCTTTCCGTCCAGGACAGTCGCCTCGCACCTCTCGTCACCGCCATGACTGTCGAGATCAAAGGTATCTGGAGAAGGCTTCCAAAAGCGCTACTTATAAAGCATTGCACTGCTTGAAATATTACTTTGAGATTTTTATTATGCATGTGCGGTTGGGTGGCCTTCATGTGTCTTAAGTATAACACATAAATTATATCTCTTGTTTGCAGGTATGAAGTTCGTCAAGATCTACAACCTCGTGCGGGAAGTTCCAGTATCTCGCCACCGTTATTTTCTCTCGAATTTGTTGCTCTCGATCTACTCACCCGCGAGCAGCAACAACAACAACAATGAATCCGTGCCCGTTGTTATGGGCGTGGGACTCAGTGTCCTACAAAACATGGTAAACCTGAAATGTTTTTCTGTCGATTTACATCGTCAACATAACTACTTTCGAGATGTTGAAGTAAAAATAAATATTTCCATAGTGTGTTTGCCTTTTTGGAAAATAAATGAATTCAAAAAATTTGGAGATTAATGGAACCCTTCTTTTCACATTAAATATGCTTCGCGCGAAAGTTCTTAATATTTCTAATTAATGTATTGATTAGCGTGCTATGCACACTGTGTTTTATTCTTTTAATGTGTTTTATATTTAAAAATGTTTTTCATGAAATGATTTTTCAGATTAAAGTTCTTTCTGACGAATGCTGTGCCTGCCGTGATTCCACACGCGGCGAAGGGACCATGTCGGTAAATGGGGAGGCAAATTGCTGCACTGGTCGCCAGGTTGACCTCAATCACAGGGAGAAAGTCTCTGTGCTATTTCAAAAAATCATGTCGTACATTCAATTCACAGGAGCCATTCATGTCGTGAGACGAGCCACAATCGAAAGTCTCAAGAGGAAAAAGTTATCCGCTAATCATGACAGAAGAGGGAATTCTCTTTCAGAGAATGATTGTTCTTTCGGTTCTAGAAGCAGTAGTTGCTCTTCTGATTGCCAAGATCCTCCACAACTCGCTGATGAGATTTTCTATGATGTTTATGGTAGAGCTCTCGCTAAGGATTATTTGACCGCGTGCACTGCGCGATTTTCTTCAGATCGCAAAATGATGACCGGTAAACAGCGTACATTTAGTGAACTCTTGGAGTGTTGTGAACACATTTTCATGTTGAAGATGCCTCTTGTTCTTCTGTACTTCAAAATTTAGTCATGGAATTAGTGAATAACGGAAATTTAGTGCATAACGTTACCATTAATTTTATTATTTCATGAGCATAGGATCTGATATTGTTCATTCCTAATCTTAGTTTTGTTATATTTTTGCCCTTGTAGTTGCCGCTCTTTTGCAAGGGTTCGATGTATTAATATTTACCAGCCAATCATTTTCGTCTTAATACTACTTATTTAGCATACATTCTTCATTGTATATTTTAGGTTTATGTTACTGAAAGTGAAAGGTCAGTTTAATTTTAATGCTGGTTCTAAACTTTTAGTTAGTTATGCATTTAGAAAAACAGTTTTGTGCATGATTGCAAACTTTAAATCGTTTGTCCGTTATTTTCGTTCCTCGACTAGTCACAAGCCTGTATTGGTACTGTAATACTCTAATTTTCTTTAGAACCTAATAAGAACAGTCAAGTTATTTTTCAAACTGCGTTTAATTGTTTTCCACTCTTCCTGCTTGCTTGTTGAGAAATGTTCGGAAAAAAGCTGAAACTTGTTAATTGTGCTGATTGCTGTACTTGTTTTGAATAGTTCTTTTCGATCTTAATGTATCAATTTATAATAGCGGTTTCAGCGTTCATTAGGCCTTGAACCTGTCGTCGATTCAGACGATTCTCAACATCGCAGAACATTCACATTTTGTTGCGGGTCTCAAACACGCAACTCACTGCTTCCAAAGTTCCATAGTGCCTTTCCTCATCACCCGGACCCGGCCTCCACGCCGCTTCAGACCTGATACTGGCACACAGTTGGGTTCAAACTTACACCTTTCTGCTCCAACCTTAGTACTCTTAACTGAAACCACCGGGCCCCTCCTCCTCCCCAGTCTAATTGCTATGCTAATAGCGCACTCTAATTTGTCCAAATATTGACCTCGCATTAAGGTCATTCAGTTGAAAATGTATCCTCAAACTGAATCGGTGACGGTGGTCTTGCGTCAATGCCTTCCATAGAAAGTTATTTAAGGATTAACAGATCAGGCTTCCAGCTGCGCCCCACACACAATGGCGCAAGTGATTGAAATATGGAGAAGGGACCAATTTACTTCTATTCCCTTGAGGTGCGATATGTGGTCCGCAATGGATTTCAGTACGAAGAATTAAAATTGTTTGTATAATCGTCATGTGTAATATAGAGAAAAATTCTGTACAAAAAATCTTGAGTGGTTCTAGTCGAACCATTGCACATTTGAATTCACATACCTCAACTTTATTATGTCACTTAGAACCCGTGAAACTCCACGATAAAATAGAATTCTGCCTAGCCTGATATTTGAAGTAGAAATAACTTGACTATAATGCCATCTGATAATACTTTCCTTGTGTATAAACACCTCAAATGCTATTCTTGACATCGGAATAAATCGGTTTAGATTTGGTAGTGGACGATGCGATATTGAATCGTAATTAAGTATGACCTGAGGGATGAATCTATTGTAGCGGGATCCGAGGATATAGAGGAACAGCGTAAACGATTATAGAATAAACTTTTGGATTATAGCATATATTCAGTCTTGAAATGCCCAGCAAGTTACAGACCAGGCAATAAGTCCAGCAGCTATCTCAATCAATCGCCAGTTATGGAAAGATCGGGTTCCAAAGGCCGGATCCCTTGTGAATCAAGTCACGAAAAGTTTAGGAATCGGCAACAGGCCATGGGCCTATTTCTTCAATGCCGACACTTCGCACAGGAAATATCCAGGGACGAATGGTATCAACATTGTCACCTGACAGTTGCTCACTTAAGATCACGAAGCAATGCCTAATTTAAATTGTGAATGAGTAAAAAAAAGTAGTTATATTATCTTGTAGTTTAACTTGCATTTATTAGTCCTATTCTGTCTGCGGTTTGTTCAAGATTAGTAGCTAAGGTTGCTGTCACCTCTCACCCTCCCTTTTCTCTCCTAGTAACGAGTCAACGAACATGTGATGCGTTCAGATACGTCTCGGACAAAAACGCGGCCTCTCTCACGGCCGGTCTCGCGGCCGTGATTCCAAATTCAGTGAGCGTGGAATATCTCGCAAAATACTGAACGTAGCTTGATGAAACTTGGTACACATAATCATTAGAGCCTAACGGTGATGTTTAGACGTGTTGCAGATGGCCGTTGAAAAGACCTCTGACTCCCTCCGGAATAATGCTTCTTTTCAGAGTCACAGCCACCACGCCCCAAATCCGTGAATGCTCCATATTGTTATACCGAGAATCGTTGAATCCTGTCCATTCTACGACTTTTTTTTTGTAGGGGAAGCTCCTTGCATTGTTAGCAGGGTTTCTAGCTGAAAAATTGTAGAAATTTGTCTTATTAATTGATATTTTGTGTAGTAATCTATTCAAAGGGTTGATACTAACAGTAACATGTACCGGTAGTACAGTTTTCATGAAAAACGGTCAAAAATGACCGCTACCGGTGCTAAACAGAAACGGAACATTCAGAAACGGAACATTCTTTTGGATTTCTTCCCTAATTTTTTAACCGTAACTCCACTCGTGCATAACAGCATAAGCAGACAATCTGAATTTGCAATAAATGTTAATTTATCCATTTGTTTTGCAATGATTGGATATAGTCATAAATCATACAACTTGAACAAGGTTTCTTTATTACTAGCCACTAGGTATTGTATTCTGAAGCGTCATGTGTGGCGGACTGGCGGTGATGTGCCGCTTGCCCGCTTCCCTGTTTTACTCTCAGACTCCGTCTTAGCCTAGTCAAGACTCAAAAGTCAGGGCCCAATTCATTGTAAAATTTATTCTGATCTATATAATTATTGTTATCATGCCTGCTAATCTGCTATCAGCCTTGACTTGAGCCTTCATAATTTCATCATTCATGTTGCACCTGTTAGCCCTATAAATTATTGACATGTGTCATTTGACAATGATTTGGATTTTGGACCCCCTCAGGGGGGACTTCTGACGGGTGTCTGTGCTCGTCAGAAGTCCTATGGAATTTCACGCTCCTAGGGGGATTGTTCCTGACCCTGAGTGCCCCAAGCCCCCAACGGCCCCACCGCTGAGCTCACGGTGTCTGAGTCTGACTGTAGGTCTCAGTTGTGGGGTTAAGTTATTATGTAGGCAGGATTCCTTCCATTTCTCTTCTCTGTCTCTCTTGTGCGGACGGTGCGGGCAGTCAACGTCCCGTGTAAGCAACCTCTTGTTCGAGTGTCTTTGTTTCTGTTGCTTTTCACCTGTCCCTCCAGCCTCCTTGTCACTTCGTCTCTTTTGAGATCTAGTCTGGAAAAGTCCTATTTTTGTCTGAAATATCGCGGCTCTAATATCATATAATTTCAGTAGGTATGAAATCTCGCGGCTCGAATGTCATAAATTTTTGTTTGATTAAAAAATCGAAGTAAACATTTGGCCACTAAACTAACTGGATTTTGGATCACAATGGTTTGGAAAAAAATGGAGCAAAGTGAAGATCAATAATTTCATTAAATGTAAGAGTTGTTCTACTTCAACATTCTACCTGTACACCTGAGCCTTGACTTGCAGTTGCATGACACATGCAGATGCTTGATGGAATCCTAAAAATGATTTTCATGTATTACTTTGGATTCATGGTCAAAAAATTTAATTAAACTGATTACCATTTACCACACTCAGGAAGTTAGGAAGATGTATATAAACGGGGAAATTTCCCACACATGAATAGTTTTTTGAAGCCCTAGGTCAGCGCAGTTCGCACAATGCAATCTAATTATATTTTCTTTGCGCAGGCGTTTGCGCAAATCACGGTCATCGATTCCACACCGCACAGCTATCGGCGCGGGCCGCGGAGCCGTCTGAGTCCGACACAGCTCTGATTTAGACACAGTTTTCATCTGGATGGAATGGGAATGCCTTATGGCAACATCGTCTGTAGATTTCAAGTAACACTGAAGCCAGCGTTGCCAGATGGTATATTTCTATACCAGATTTCACAAATCTGGTATTTTCAGAAGGTGTCTGGTATGAATATTTTAGATCTGGTATATATGCCTAAATCTGGTATTTTTCTGGTATTTTCTGACTTACTGCAAATTTACTGCATTAAGTTATAACTGATAAGTTCCACCTCTGAAGTTTGAACTTCCTCCAGTGTAGGCGTGTATTATATTATATTATTATTTATATAGATTGCCTTCAGAGCAGCGCGATTAGAGCTTTCCTGCCATTTTTGGAACCGCAAGTTTACCACTTGATGAAATAACCCCAATCTAATTGTTAACATTTAACAAAAGTGCTTCTATTTAATTTAACATGCAAACGGATGTCATCATTATTGTCATGTCAACTGGAACTCGAACACCACAGCAGAGAGTATTTTATGCAGCTAATGAATTTTGCAAACTTTGCTGGAGCTGGAAGAGAATTTATTGAATTTTAGAAAAAGGCGGGATAATTCAATGAAGGGTGGTGGCAGAACTGCAATCTTGATACTCTATTGCGATTCGTGCTATGATAACATACGTAACAATTTTCATATGATAGTTATAATTTTTGCACATTCAAAGTACGCATGACATAACATAACGCACCCAGATTTGGAAACCATAATTGCTCAAATGAAGCGAAAATAAACGACAGACCATTGACTTATCTTGCAAATATATATATTCATATTTTGTATCGCATAGTATAATTAGGCCCTGTAATTATGCCATATTGACCTAATTTGTATAGTCCATTTATGCACACTGTTATTAGGTATTGATCGTGTCAATTTTGCCGGCCGGGAGGATGTCGGAAATGTAGTCCCAACATTGGCATGCAGGATCGTACTGTTGACGTACAGGTTTATACCCTACAGTACTTGCCGCAACCAGTCCAGTCATTCATTAGAAGGCACTGATGGCACATCTAAAGCCATGTTGCCTTCTTTAGTTCTGTAATTCATGTCCAATTGAATTGTGATCTATGAATGAGTATTCATTACTGTGCTGACTCTTAGAACCTGAGTCCTGAGTTGACGCGTTAGCAATGTAGTTAACTCGTATCCAACCACAACACAATGCAGATACACGTTTGTGTGTACGGTCAGTGTGATTACATAATTTGCGTTGCCGCGCGTCCATATTTGAACTATTTTAGCTTTCTAAAAGTACGGCGCATTTTTTACTGGCATAGTACAGCGCACTGCGCAGGTCGTTAAAATGACTTTATAAATTTCTGCGCACCTGGCACATCTTCCTGACCATGGCTAGAAATGTTGTGGCAGCTAAACTAATAAAAATCTTGCAAAACTAAAAATGGTGGCATAAAGTTTAACATTTTTAATAGCTACGCTACCTAGTAGGCTGATAACCTAGCCTCCTAGGCTAGGTATGTAGCATAAAGCTAGTTACGGTAGTTAGGAAATCATACTTACAGCCTTACTGGCTACATTTACTAATTACTACCTTTTAAAAATTCCTGAAAAAAGTGTGAAAAGTGCAATTTTGGAAAAGTAACTCTTGGCTCTGCTAAGGTTTTAGGTTTGTAGCAAAAAAAAAAAATTTGCCTTATCGAAAAATTTTACTTGCATAAATGTTGCACACAGGTGTTGGTATACAAACGTGATAGATGGAATTTGCGTACCTCATTTGAAAAAGAATGGCGGTTATTTTATGCACTACAGGGAAATAAGGGACACTGCCCCCCTGGGCCTAGCTGCCTGGGGTAATAAGGGACACCTCTAAAATGCATTTACAGTAGAACCTTTGTTAGCAAAGCTCCAGTTAACCATAAAATCAATTGAGTAACAATAAAAAATTTTGATTACATTTACCTTGCTAAGCAAGAAAAATAAAAAATCACTTAACAAAAAATTAATGCATCATTAGACATTAGTCATCATAAAATTGTGCATAGCTAGCAATGATAGCTGATAGCAATACCAATAAGATACCATAGATATATTGTGCACTGCAGCACTGGGGTCCTGGGCAACCCAGAATGAAAAGTAATTAACCTAAACTATTATTTATTTCTTAAAAATATGAATTTTGACTTATGTTGATTATTGTCACCAAAAGATTCCTTTCTGTTTCAGGTATGTTTTTATGATCTTTTTTTTATATAGTGAATTCACTTGACTCAATTACAATGGTGCAAAATTACAAGCCGTCCTGCGTCCTGTTAGATCACAGATACAGAAGAAATGCAACAATACAACATGGCTGTTAATATGAAGCTTGCTATGGACAAAGTCCTTGTAAATGCACAATGGCATGTGGATATGGTAATATGGAATGGAATTCAATGGATATGATAATCACATCAATAATATGATATTGTAATTTGTATTGATATGGTAATATCATATCAATAAAGGAAAAACACATAAAAATCCACAGAAAATGTTATTTATACTACATCTACATCATTTACAAATTACAAAGGAAGAGGAGGACTTCAGAGTAGTGTTAGTAGGTATAATGGTAAAACTTTAGATTAAGTGCATCCAAAACAAAAGGTGTTTTTTTTTTATTATTTGTTTTTTGGGGTGTAGATAAAGAATCTGAAATCCGTTTTTGGCGGTCGGCATTGGAAAATTGATTTTTTTTTCCCCAAGGCTCTAATTCGTCAAAAAAATCTGGCAAAAATTGGCAAAAAAACCTAACCTAATATAACCTAACCTAACCGTGGTTGCCTGCAATGTCGTGGTTGCAAGAGTATATGGGTCACTGAGACTAAGTTGAAAATGCTATAAATTCACATATTTGGGGCGAAGATTTAACTGGCATTTTATCTTAGAAAATATGTAAAAAATCAGAAAAAAATTGGTTTTCTGATGTCGACCTCCAAAAACGGATTTCAGATTCTTTATCTACTCCCCAAAAAACATATAATTAAAAAAACTTTTTGGATGCACTTAATCTAAAGCAGTGGTTCCCAAAGTGGGCGATATCACCCCCCTAGGGGCGGTGGAAAGGTTTTGGGGGGCAGTGAGGAAGAAGAGGGGGATATGGGGGAGGCCCCGGGGGGCAGTCTGAAGTCGAAATCCGAACGTTTGTTTGATGATTTGTACACAATAGGTGCAGCACATCATGACTCCCTGTGCTGGTTTTTTCAAACAGATCTGTTTTCTTTTAACTTCTTCTTGGTTTACGTCTTGGACAAATTTACGGTCGGTATCGCGGCCAGTCTCACGTCCAATTTCTAAATTCAACGATCATGGAATATCTCTCAAACTAATGAACTTGCTCAATGAAACTTAGTAGTAGTACAGGTATTAATTAGGACCTAACGGTAATGTTCAGCTCATGAAAATTTTTTGAATTTTGCCTTCATTTGTTTTTGCCACAGTTATATGGCAATACGGGCTGAAATTCACAGTGATCAAGGAATTCTTCCAAACTACTGAACAAATTTGGACAAAATTTTGAATTTACAACCCTAACTACCGAACGACAATGTTAGCTTGTGAAATTCTTTCTATTGTGCCTTGTTCACAAGTTTTTTTCTTCATTTCACCTTCATTCATGATTTAAACAACAATACATGCTTAAATTTGCAGTAATCAATAAATTTCTTCTAAAATACTGAACAGATTTGAACAAAACTTAGTATTTAAATACCTAACCTCAGCAATGGTGATGTTTAGCTTGTTACATTTTTTCAATTTGCCTTCGTTTGCGAGTTACACGGCTATACGTAAACGGCTCTTGGTTAAAACGGCCGGTCGTTTCTCCTATATCTGTATAACTCGCGAACAAAAGCAAATTAGAAAAATAGTGACAAGCTAAACATCAGCGTTGTGAGGTTAGATATTTATATACAGAGTTTCGTTGAAATCTGTTCAGTAGTTAAGAAGAAATTTTTTGATCATCTCGAATTTAAGCGACAAATTACCCAGCAATACGGGCCGAATATAAGGAAGTGTGAAATCAAGAATGATGGTGAAATAAAAAAATCTCGCAAACGAAGGTTGAATGAAATAATATACCGTACGTTTAAAAATTACTTTTTAAAGACAACACTTCCAAAGAATCCAGTGTCTCCAATCTTAAAGATGTACCATGAATTTCTCAAAAAAATTAATTATCAATTTTTTTAATATATAACTTTTTTTTAATATATAACTTTTTTTTAATATATAATTTTTTTCTTTCAAAATTATTTATTCTATTAATTGATTCATGCATTGCCTCTGACTTCACACAAGTGTGCAAATTTTCAGATCAATTAGACAGGTAAAAGTGTGTCAAATATCAGTTATAAGATTTGTAGCTGACAAAATTATTTTTTCAATTTTTTTAATATTGAAAAAAAATTAACTTTTTGAATCATTTATTTTGACATTTGATTCATGCATTGTCTCCAACTTTAAACAAGTATGCAAAATTTCAGATCGCTAGGATAAGTAGAAGTGTGTCAAATTTCGATTACAAGATTTGTAGCAGACAGACAGACAGACAAACAGACAAACAAGAAGTGAAGTTAAAGAGAAGTGTTGTAAAAATGTTTAAATCTAAAAAATCACTGTTTTGTAGTTAGGAATGTACATTCAAAATGAAAGAAATTCTTTGATCACTGCAAATTTTGGCCTGTATCGCAATATAACTCACAAATGCAAAATAAATTTTAAAAATTTTTGCATGCTTAACATCACAGTTAGTTTATGATGAGGACATGTTCTAAGTTTCATTGAGCTGCGTTCATTAGTTTGGGAGATATTCCTTGATGATTGAATTTGGAGATTGGTCGTGAGACCGGCCACGAGTCTGGCCATAAATTTGCCCAAGGCGTCCTAGGTTTCTAGTGTTGAAACAGTTGAAACAGCTGAAAAACATATTGGTTTGCTAAGTGGGGTTCCATCTGTGAAATACACATTTGTGTTTTACCTTTCTTTTCTATTGCAGCGTACTAAATTTCAATAAAGAGGCGTATGTTTTTATATGTGTCTGTGGGGGGCGCTAGAAAAAGTTTGGGAACCACTGATCTAAAGTAATACCAGTGTAATGAATGAGTACACTTTGTATGCTTCAAACATTTTAAAATTGAGTTCTATTTCAAGTGTCCCGGTCTTCCAGATTACCTCGTTCCAGGGGTAATTTGGGACGATTTTGTTTTGTGCCTGACACCTTACCAACAGCATATGGAATTTTTTTAGGATGCCTTTTGATAGCCCTCACAAAGCTTTAAAATGAACCAAAACTTGTTTATTAAATGTTCAACAGTAAGAAGTTATCATCAAAAAATGCTTGAAACCATCCCTTATTACTGTTTGATGGTAGTTGGCATTTGGCCACTAAACTAAACTGGACTACAATTTAAGGTCAATGTGGCTGATGGAGAGCTTGAAATGACATCAATATCTTGAGCTAAAATTCATTTACAGCAGTTTTCACCACTGTACTAGTATCAGTATATATTAAAGTCATGTACCATTGTGGCATTGTCAATGCCTCATAAGTCCCAGTCACCACTCATAAAACTGCTCATGCCTTGCTGCTTGGCATTGAAATTTGAAAAAAAAATTTTGACAGAAAAGATTTTTCTTTATTTCCATCCAACAGAATGAGACAGATCTCTAGTTAATGATTTTTCAGATCTTGTTAAGCATGGAATCCAAAACATTTAGAGCCCTTGTTCTGGGAGGTACTGGAGAAGTAGGGCGGGAACTTGTTAAACAACTGATCACCCATCCCGCATTTACCAGAGTCACAGTGCTTGGCAGACGTGCATTTGATGAAATTCAATCAGACAAACTGGTTTTTAAACAAGTTGATTTTGATAAGCTTCATGAGTTTGAAGAAGCTTTCACAGACACAGAGGTGAGTGTGCTGAGGAAGGTGAGATGTGAGTGTGCTGAGAAAGGTGAATGCTGAGAATGGAAAGAGGTAAGTGTGCTGAGAAAGGTGAGAGGGGAGTGTGCTGAGAAAGGTGACAGGTGAGTGTGCTGAGAAAGGTGAGAGGTGAGTGTGCTGAGAAAGGTGAGAGGTGAGTGTGCTGAGAAAGGTGAGAGGTGAGTGTGCTGAGGAATGTGAGAGGTGAGTGTGCTGAGAAAGGTGAGAGGTGAGTGTGTTTATAAGGAAGACTTCAGTTTGTTTTGGTTACAAGTCATGACAACTTGCCAATTTGTTATTTTGCACTTTTGTTTTCTCATTAGAATTAACTAAGATGAAGTTTACTGTCTTTTTTTCACAAAACTAGAAATTAATTGATCATTTGGTTCTCAATATGACACTACTCCCATCATCAGGTTGCCTACTGCTGTTTGGGTACTACTCGAGGAAAGGCTGGCAAGGATGGCTTCATTAAAGTAGATCGTGACTATGTCTTGACTTCTGCTGAAATCCTGAAGAAGGCCGGGTGCTCACACTTCCATCTTGTCACATCTCATGGGGCAAATAAGGATTCAATGTTTCTCTACCAAAAAATCAAAGGTTTGCTTTCCAATGGTAGTTGAATATTGGTCATGTTCTACTTTCAAATTTAATAGGTTCAATTTAAGATGAAATTATTTTTACATGCATTTTGTCCTTCCAATGTGTTAGAACTTCATGAATATTAATATGTACTCAAATTCCCAATCAATTGGCTTGCTGTGTGTGGAAATTTTGATTGAAATTTTTTTGTTTCTGCCCACCATATTTATACTATTTCCTCCAATAAACTACAGGATGATTGAACTTTTTTTGTTTCTGCTCACCATATGAACTTTTTTGTTTCTGCTCACCATATATATAATATATTCTCCAATAAACTACAAGATGATTAAACTTTTTCTGTTTATGCTCAACATATAGATACTATATTCTGCAATAAACTACAGGAGAGGCTGAGGAAGGCGTGGCTGCTTTGAACTTTGACCGAGTCTCCATTTACCGTCCCGGTCTGCTGCTATGCGAGCGTCGGGAGAGGAGACTCCTGGAGGGAGTTGCTCAGGTAAATGCTTCATAGATCAGCTCATGAGGCTGAAATGATAGAACATAGCACTGAGGCTGAAAATGATAGAAGTAATAGGGCTGAAAATGATAGAAGAACATATCACTGAGTCTGAAAATGATGGAAGAACATATCTCTGAGGCTGAAAATGATATAAGTGATTGGGCTAAAAATGATGGAAGAACATATCTCTGAGGCTGAAAATGATAGAAGTGATTGGGCTGAAAATGAAAGAAGAACATATCACTGAGGCTGAAAATGATAGAAGTGATTGAGCTGAAATGATAGAACATATCATTGATAGAAGAACATATTATTGATAGAAGAACATATTATTGATAGAAGAACATATCCTTCATTGAGGCTGAAATAATAGAAGTACACATTCCAATAATGTCTTTCCTTTCTACTTTATCATTAGGATTGATTACTTTAAATTTTATTTGTCATTTCATTTGTTATTTGACAGGGAAAATCACATTTATTCTTGTACAATTTCATCTCTTAGCTTATCATTTAGGGACTAACTTAAATGTATGCTGCATTGTTTATGTTGTTTTGTGGCAGAATGTCATCAAATTCTAAGTGCAATAATTTTTACTTGCATTGTTTGTAATAGAATGAATAATCTCTTATTCATCAAATTTGGCTGAAATATCATTTAGATTGATAGTTTTATCACCTGCGGACTTCATTGTATGATTGTAACTTTCTTTCAGGTAATTTAAATAATTTTTGAGGAAGTTCATGTGAAATAAATTCCACTTGGCTTCATTGTTATATTTACTAGAAAATTTTTGTATTAATTGCAGAAATTTACATTTTGTCTGAGGTATAATAAAAATGATATTACTATTGGTACTTGTTCAATATATCTGTGACTGTTTCTTCACTCTGATCTTAGCAGTAATATTACTTCAATACAAAATAAATACTTATTACATCAATGACAAAGGCTAAATTATATTCTTGTTTTTGCGCAGACTCTGGCAAAGGGTTTTGATTGGCGCAACCGCATGAGTGTGCCTGTTGAAACTGTCGCCAAAGCCATGGTCACGAACACCCTGTGTCCTCCCGAGCGCCCTTCCGAGAACAACGCTCCTTTAAAGGAAATAATAACACACGATGACATTCTCAGGCTTGGCATTGATTAGTTGTAGGCACTGTTTCTTAGGAGAATATTTTATGCCAGAAAATAATCAGTTTTAGTCATTCCTGAATTTGCATTCTCATGGTTGTGCATGGAAAACTGGAAACTGCAAGTTACTACATCTCTTTATAATCGTGTATATCAATAGATATGCTCACGTGTATGAATAGCATTTATAGACTCTTGTTACTCATTTAGTTTTTGTTTACGAATTTTGTATTATTCTACTTATACTATCAAGTGCACATATAATCGAGTATAATCTCTAGTGCAGTCTTCCTCAACCATAATCATTTTTAACTGGGCATGCACTCAGCACCGCTTTTTTTCTTCTGTGATAGGTACGTTGACTTAAAGTTTTGTCTTTCATATTGGTTAGACTGGCAGCTTGTGTCAGAGCAGAAAATTCATCGTTATACTCGCTCCATAATGGTAAATTTGTTCAGTGTTTAATAATGTTCTTTAGTTTGTGTACAAGATCCGTGCCTTGCTAGTGGTTAATCTCACTGCATTGTTGGTGTCGCAGCTATCTTATGCTTGATGTGTTAGTTGAGTGTTAATGAAATCTTTGTTGCATTAGTTCCCATTTATGCTGCATAAATTATTATTTTATAAGGTGTCGGAATGAGTTCATATAATTCTTTCGTGATGGAACTTTGCGCTGTAAAGATTATGACGTCGGTTATACGAGACCTAGGATTTTGAAATACCTTCACCAAAAGACATAATGTTTGCAAATTTCTGTTCCATGTTTCCCAGGAGCTCAAGCATCACTTACAATGCGTAGCTCATCAGAATTTCTAGTGCCATCAGTAGCCAACTCTTAGATCCTATTTATTATTGCTACATTTATGTTGATGCATAAGGACAAGATCCTAACTAGCTCTCGTTGCTGACAGCTCAACTTTATCTCCATTTTTGCAACAATTAGTTAATTGCTCACCTGTAGCATTACTAGCTGGTTTTAGTAAGTATAAGCTGAAGGAGAATATTCAATTTTATATAGTAACGGATTTGGTTACATATTCCGGTTACATATGTATATTTTGATTGGAACTTCTTTTGGTTCGTATCAGTTGCGATATTTTTTTACGTTTTCTTGGATGAACGCGTCTTTGATTGAGTTCGTACTACTTTCCTATAGTCTTGGCTGACACTTGCGACGCTTAAAAGAATCGGAAGGAAACGTCTATCTTTCGGTGATCCAGATTCTTCCTGGCTTTAATCTCAGTTTATTAGTTAAACGCACCTGTCTGACAGGTGCAAGGTGAAATGCGTTGTGTCCAGGATAAGAAAATTAGTTACAATATTAGTACCTATTCATTGTGAGAACACGATAACCATGTTGCTGGACGCCTGCCTAGTTCACCAAAATTTTGAAATGGTTGGTCGTAATTTAATGAAAAAAAATGTATGCTACACGTTTATCGCATAATTTCGAGTTTTTTTTTTTTTTTTTTTAATTACGTCTGTTGTTGAGCTGGTGATTTCATTTTAAATTATCTTTTTCCGCGTGTCTGCTTTATGTCATTTGATTGCAGTTTTTTTTAGTTTTTGCTTATTGCTGAATTATTGGTCGATTCTTGAACGTCACATTTTGAGAAGATCTACCCAGGCCAACGAATCATTGTGAGGATAACGTCATGTATTGAGTTTTTATGTCGAGATGATTCGTCTCTCTGAGATGCTTGCTTACTCAGCCTGTTGCTCCTCGCCTCCGTTGCGCTGACTAGCTTGGTGTTGGACTTATTCTGTGCTCCTTCCTTTCACATAGTATACTATGAGCAGAGTAGTCCTTGACAATTACCTTAAATAATGTGAAGACTGGAAAAAAGTATCGAATAAAATCAGGCTAGTGAAAGATAGTTCTTAATAGTCGATTTTATTAACTCTATTTTTACATTAAAACCAGATAAGTTTGACTGTTTTGTGAGCCATAGTTTTTTAGTCCTCGCGTTTCTGATATTTTTGGACTTTAATTATGTATTAACGACTATTAACTAAACTACGCGTTCCTAAGAGTATTAATATTGTTTATGTGCTTTCTGTTTTATATATTTTTTCGAATTATCTAGCGTGTGATTTAAGTTTAGTAAAGTATTGATATCAACACACTTGTTTAAATCAGATGTTTAGTCTAGATTGAAGTTCTTCATTGTTTCAAATTTATGGGACGATGTAACATTTAGGCTCGGCTTTGATGCATAGTTTTCATTAAACATTGGAGCCGTCCATCCCCATCAATCAACATTTCATTGTCATTTAATGCGACAAGGCTGGTGTCATTATGGTTGAAACCAGCAACTGTTGAATAAAGGTAAGAGATATAATGCCTATCTTGAAATTTTATCGAGTATTCGGGTTCGATATAAATGGTCTATTTCTCTTTAGTGTTATGCTTACTTGGTCCTTTACTCATTTTTTACACTGAAATTTCTTCCCGCCAGTTCTAGACTACGGATGACATATTCGATATTGTATTCGAGTGATTTCTTCCGTTTTCTGCTTTCCCTCTAGCATCCGAATTGTCATTCTCGGTTGTCCGTATATTATTAATTTATGATGTATTTTCTATGCACAATGACCTACAAACAATCGCCACCGACTACGTTCGAGGACAGCAAAATATACATTTTTTTAAATTAATTGTTTTTCCCCTTTGATCATTACAGTATTTTAGCGTTTGAATATTTAGCGACATTTGTATTTTGACTTACCAGACGTTCCAAATAATAAATTTTGTGTTAAATGTATATTTCCTCAATTTAGTTGAGATTTAAATAGTGTAAGGGTCAATTCAATGTTTCAAACATGAATTTAGTTCCTATATCAATTAAGCCGAAGTCAGTTGCAGCCAAACGTATCAAAACATCGCTCTTGGTTTCCCAGTTCAGTCAGAGATGGAACAAAGATGGCGGCCTTGACAGGCGCCCAAGTGAGACTTGAGCAAAGACTCAAGGTGAAATTAGGTATGTGATTCAGTGTGACCCATCAAATTTGGAGCTGTGTTTTGATTTATTTTTTTTTCTGCTCACACGATGAAATACTTGGATACATATTATCAGTGTTGCTGTTGCATATGATGTGGCTTAACAGACTTGCAGTTTACACTTCACTCATCACATTCTTTAATTATAATTTATATACTATGTGAATCAATTGATATGCCCTGTGAATTGTGAAATGTGAGCAAGCTGTGATAATTTAACTACTAGGATTTTCTAAATTTTTTCCACTCCTTGATGAAGATTGAGATAATGTTTTCAGTTCAAAATTGTTCAGATATTAAAGTGGATTAATCATTAATGGCATTAGGGTAAATGCAGTATATTCTGACACCATAGTGGCAAACCAGGGCTTTTTTAGAATCAGTTCATTTTTAATTTCCTCATTTACTCAAGGTTTAAACCAATTTCTTAAGTATGATAATGCTGGTATCCAGGATACTTTACTGGTCTACCAATAGGACTCAAAAATGAACTTGAGGGAGAGTCTAAAAAACTCTCTGCTTTGCCACTATGTCTGACACATTAGGGACGTAGCAAGAAATGAATGGCTATAAAAATATCATTGTATGCGCAACTAGAGTTCTGATTGGTGTACGTCACTCACAAGTCAGTGAAGTCACAACACCACCATGGTCAGGAAGATCATCCGAAGATGTGCCAGGTGTGCGGGAATTTTTATTATCATTGCATCAATTTGCGCCATAATATGCCGGTAAAAAAGTGCACCGTGCGCCAGCCTGTGCCGTGCTCTCAAAGTTGTTTAAAGATGAATGCGCAGCAACACTATCACATACGAACAAATATCTGCATCACGTTGACTAGATTTCTAACGTGTTAACTCAGTTTCTAAGAGTCGGCAATGTTATGAATATTTATTCATAGATAACAATTCGGTTGGAAATTAATTACAAAACTGAATAGTAGAAGGCGACAATCCACGTCTTCCAGGTCTCATAGTGTGGCACAAGAGTCGTTGTAAAATTTATCTCAAGGTCATCTGGTTGTTGAACAACCGCATGCCAGTCGATAGTCGATAGGATTTATGCAGTCGATAGTCGATAGGTTTCTTCAGTAGTTCGATAACTTAACAATGAAAACACTAGTCGTTAATAATGAGATAACCTTAAGTCTATGTACATAATATCCTTTATATACAACAAACACCTAACAGATAACGCATTAATGGTTTAATTTTTCAAACCAGCGGTGCCTTCTTAGCCTCTTAGGTTTCTTTACTAACGAATTCACCGCTTCACCTCACCGTAAATATTGTGCGTAAACAAATGCCAGCTTTCCCTAAAATTCGGAGGTCACACCTTACTCTTATCCAGAACTGCTTACTCAGTTTTAAATACTCAATCACCAGAATTATCAAACCTCAACTCTATTTAATATATGGCTACTTGCATTTGTTCGACAAATGCGAGCCACTCACAAATGGGATTCGCGAATTTCATATTCTCTCAGGCATATCCAAGAATCCCAGTTAGTTACAATGGGAAGAAATTAAAACTACGGATGTGCACCTCTGTTATTCACGTGCGTACTGCAAATTTAAGCGTAACACATTCCTGAATCATTCATCACAGAGTGAATTTCAACAAATGAAATGATCTAAACGTAAAAATCAACCTTGTAAATCAAGTCACGAGAAGTACAAGAATCGGCAACAGGACATGGGCCTATTTCTTCAGTGAATTGACACTTTTGCAGACCCGCCTGCGGTCCTGGCTGCGGATTTGCGCAACTGAACCACTCACAAGTCCTTCAATACTGAACGAATTTGCTTGAATTTTAATATGTGAGTTACGGGTAAACATTATCGATACGCTGCCGCAGGAATTAATACAGATTTTTACAAAAATTAATTTTTAATCAAAAACAATAAACAAATTTTTTTCTCAACCCAGACACTCATAATTCCTTCAATACTGAACGAATTTGCTTGAATTTTAATATGTGAGTAGATATTATCGATACCGGTACGCTGCCGCAGGAATTAATACAGATTTTACAAAAATTATTTTTTAATTAAAAACAATGAACAAAATTTTTTCTCAACCCAGACACTCATAATTCCTTCAATAGAGAACAGATTTGCTTGAATTTTGGATTATGAATATTTATTATCGATACGCTGCCGCAGGAATTATTACAGATTTGTACATTAATTAGTTTTTAATTAAAACGAATAAACTTATTTTTTAAGCAACCTAACCATTCATAACTCCATCAATACATAACGGATCTGCTTACAATTAAAGTATTGAGATTCAGATGCAGTAAATGAAAAATAGAATATGCGCACTTTATTGATGTATTTAATTTCACAATAGAGGGTTTCTTCCCAAGGCACGTGGATGAGCATTCTTTCAACTGGGTAGCATATCATAATTAAATCACGAACAAGAACTCACTAGAGCCTTCAGCACGTGTTTAGATCATAGAATTTCTCTCCGACGACCGCTGCGTTCTCAAGTTATATGGCTGATCATTAGACTCGTGACCTGTCATCCAAGGCGACCAAAAATTATATCCAAACTTTAGATATGATTCAATTAAGAATTGCGCTCAAACCTTTTTCTCGCGTCTATGTAGTACATTTTTTGTGCCTAATAATCTCGTTCACTAAGTATAGGGCCTTTAGGTTATAACCAATTTTATTTAGAAGTGTCATAGTGCCGTGAAATTAACCTCAACATCTATGATAATGGAATCTTTGGCTTACACAGTTCATATGAGTAAAAACCATTTGCCATTGAGCTGCCCATCCAAGCCTGTAACTTGCGGAAAAAATAAATCTCGCATGTCATTTATAAGTCATTTATTAGCAAAAGAAAATTGTATAAACAAATTTCCCATTGATTAATATTAAAGCGTGTGATTTGACTTGCAACATAATGATACTTGTATAAATTTTTCCACTGAGTTGAATATCATCAATGGAATTTGCGCGTGTTACAAACGTCTCGAAAAAATTTGAGACCGTAAATGCTGCCATAATATTTTGCATACAAATTTTCAGATGTACGTAATTGGTTAAAATGCATGAGTATCATGCATAAAAACACCGCAATATATTGCACACCTACATGCTCTTACATGTCAAGGTTAAAATAAAAATATAACATGCAGAAAATTTCCTCGAGAAAGTTTGATTCTAGCTTCTAAGTGGAAAAAAACACTGGCGTAATCTGTCCGATTATTTTTGCAAGCTTCAATACATATGATGGTTGCGTTGTCCCGGGGCTGAACATTTTACATCCGCCGCTCGTAATGCGCTGTTGGGGTCCGGGTTTTAGTCAGTACCGCAGTCGTATCTTGTCGGGTCTTGCTAAGTCGCTTGTTGGCAGTTGTCATAAGTTTATTGTGGAATAGTCCCATTAGTTGGCAGTCGTTGAAAAAAATAAATGGCTGATTATTTTAGCTCGAAAGTCGTTGCAAAGTAAAAAAATTGGTCGATAACTTTAGCAAAAGTCGTTGAAATTCCAACGACTATTGCCACTGTATGAGACCTGGCACGTCTTGAGATTGGCTCCTTCTAACGAAGGACTGACTTTGGCAAATAGTACAAACCCGAATGTCAATGTCAGGAATACATTACGTTCCCGACATCCTCCCGGCTGGAGAAATGGGTTTGTGCGGTGCAAAACTATTGAAAACAAAAATACAGGCACCACACTTTTTTTTAAATTATCAGTTCTCATTTTTTGCAACTTTGAAGGTTAATTAAATAGACTAACAACAAACATTAATAAAATATGAATAGCTTCAAGAGACTCATCACATACATGACGATGAATCAGCACTGCGTAAAAGTATGTAAAGACGATGTTAGGAATTTCTGTTGACCGTTATGTCTAGACATATTTTATTTACAAAAGATTTCACACTCAAAACTATTTTCCATTAATTACAATGATGAAATTATTTCTAACTTCTTTCATTAACCATAGAATCTTTAATAACCCTATCAGTGCACTAATGGTATATATAGAACGAGCAAAATCTGTCATCTAACGTTAATATTTGTAGGTAATATTTGTTTACTTCATGTGCCCAATTTCTGAGGACTTGGTTATTCACCACTTGCCTCACGTCCGGACAGAATATTGCCTCACTTCTGGATGGTCTACAGAAGGTAAACAAACGATGTTTGTCAGTTCGTATAAGAAATTTGTGGAAAATTTCTTCGAAAATAAATTTCTAGATTTTTACTCTCACAAAATTTCCATATCAAGGAAAATCATAGATTATTGATGGATAATTAAACGCATATTGAGTATTATACATTTTCTGTCACTTGTCCCTTGACAAAATGTATGTGCGTGCTGTGCCGATGCTTGCGTGCGCTGCACCGATGCTTGCGCGCACAAGCGGGGATGGCCAGAAGTTGCACCAACTGTGCGCGGCAATAGCTAAAAAAAAGTCAAAATGCGCAGGAATATTCCCTGAAAACATACATAATCCTGAGTGTGGCAACACCACACTACGCGCCAGCAATGATGAAACGTCATAAGCTGTTGCCATTTTTATTTAAAAGCCTTTAGAATTCAAACCTACAAAATCCCTAAATTCTGACACTGTGTGTGACTGAATTTGGCATATTGTGAGACTAATTCCGGCAGTGCTTCGAACTCTATTAATTTGTAATTCTGGCGCCCGGCATTGGAATTCCTATGCCCTGTGTGAACTGTATTGGAATACAACACAGCTCGGAATGAGCGTAATTAAAAAATTTTAATGGTTTAATTAAGAGCTAGGCCTATTAAGCTTTTAATTAAGAAAATTTTAATTTTTGGACACAGCCCATGGTGCAGAGGGTGGATGCAGCGTCGCCAATATAGGGTAAACGCGGTATATTCTGACATCGTAGGTAATTCCGTCACTTCTCTAGTTTTTCCTTTATATTAAGCTTTGTTTTAGTTCCATGCGTTCATTGATGGTTGAAATGGTGACGT